TTTTTTTTTTTTCAATATTGTTCACGGATCTCGACGCTTGTTAGGTTAAATACGTTTCATCAATCGAGCTCTAAGCTACGAGCGGTGTAGCGACGGGGAATTTTATCGCGTCTGGAACGCTACACCTGTATTTTTTCTTTCCTGCGATTATTACGCTCAGTACCTGCGATTCCTACATCGTTTTGTCCAGTGTTACGGTTGCGATTGCCATTCTTTACGTACATTAGCTTGTTTCTTCGGCGGCGTGATTTAAATGGCTGCGGTGAAAATTGTACGAAGGCTGGATTAAAATTTTTTTCACATATCCTGTAATTCAAGCGGATTATTTTTGCGTTCTACACAAACGAGCTACAAAGATAAGACTTCGTATGGTAATATCATGATCATGAAGGCGAAGTCTCACGTATTTCGGACTAACAGCATTACGGGATTATCCCCATTTCCTCTAACTTCTTTTCTGAAATACACCTGCGTGGATAATGCATCTCTCGAGATGCGTACGCTTTCGGACGGATGTCTTTCCTTTTGAGAGAGTTTTTTTTTTTTATCCTTTCCAGACTCGTGCTTTAATACAATGATTATGAATAAAGCGTGCAAGTCTTTGTAAGATAGTCGAAATCACATGGTTCGCGTAAAATATAATACAATATGCAGCGCACACAACGTAATATTTCTATTTTCTCGCATTACTTTTGCAATAGTTTCTTCATTCGCTTGAATATCTTTTTTGTAACGGTCGTTTTTATTATTTTTTATCGGCAATTTTTTGATAATTATGGTCGGCCGAAGGCAAGCGTGGATCGAGAGATCGAGCGGTCAATGGAGACATGCGGTCTTATTCCGCTGAATGCCAGAACATGAACATGGTCGTGGCACAGGAAGAAGGCAGGGGCACATCCGTATCGTGGTCAGAACCCGTGACCCCCCGATACGTACACGTGTAAACGTACGCGCGTCCGTCCACGCAGCACACACGCGAGCCGCGGCTTTGCCAAGGATTATCCCCCGCCCTGCGTTGCCCACGGTTTTCATTGTGAGATCGCGAAGCGTCGGATATATACGCGCCGGACCTGAATTTGGTTCACGATTTTCGATGCGGCGAGTCGAGATGAGTTATCCAAACCCGCGCTGTGTAAACGCCGCGCTCAAACGGATAATTATTCTCTCCGTTAGCGATTACATCTGCCACGCTCATTGTTTCTATGAATGTGTTTTCATCTTCATTCTCGATATTTTATTTTATTCGTGCTTAAACTGTGCAAGCTATATTTGTTCTTTTTATTTGCCTATATAAAAATGCACAGCAGATTTGCATGGGAATATCAAGATATCGAAATTCGTCCAAGTACTTGGCGTTTTCGTAATTTTTCCGTGCTACTACTTGAACGATTATGACGTAGAAAACGACACCTTACTTATTTTAGGCACCGAGATAATCGCACGTTACACGTGAAGTGGCTGACCACTTTGAGATGCGAAAGAATGTGCCAAATTGATGACGAGGAATTAAACGGACTGAAAGCGCGTCCAGAGAGAGGGGCGCAAGAAGCGGTAGGGTGGCCAATTGGCTGTGTAATGTCAGAAAGGGGTTGCTTCTCGCCCCTCGTACTCGCTGGCACCGAATATAGATGCTGCGTTATTTTTATAAGTTCGACAGACCGTGCGCCGAAAAACGATGCTGGCACGCTAATCCACGACGTAAATGATTTTATCGGAATTTTATATTCCTTGGAAAATTAAGGTCATACTTTTAATATAGATGTAATTTTTAATCAATTAACGTCTATATGTCGATTTCTTATCCATTAAATATACTTCCATAAGTTTTAGAAGTTAAATGAGTATAATGACTATAATGTAATATTTCTTTTTATTATTTTAATCTTAAAGAGACGTCTATCTGGAAAAGAATATATATAAAACTACGAAATATATTAATTTATTCTATCGTTGCTATTTTCTATTTTTCGCGTTTATCTTTAAAAAAAAAAGAAATTACTGTTTTAAATTGCATTTTCATGAATTTTTAACAATACTATTTTTAAAAAATGTAAACTTTTGTTTTTATAAATTCATCCAAAAACATTACTGTTACATATATCTTTCTCTCATGACTGTATGATAAGATTTTAGGATTTATCTATTTTTCCAGAAAAGATAATATGATTGTATGCATAATTTATGAATTTTTCATATACATCAACGTTATGTCTAGGTTGAAATAAAGACAAAGGATTACCTGTACTTGATCCGTCTTCGTGTTAGCAGCCATCCATGCCTCTACAAAGGTGTCCATTGCGCTCTGAAAATCCATTCCCTCTTGGGCCCTCAATAATTCTCCTGGGCCTCGGAAGTCGCCGCCATTTGTGACATATTGCGTTATACTTTTGAATTCTCACAGGATCAACTGTCAATTTTCGCGCTGGCACTTATTGTTCAAGAGTCAAATGCAATCAGAAAGGTGCCAGGCAATTGTCTGAACCAAGTATGTAATTTTCTTTATTCCTCCAAATATTTTTACGTCACTTCGAGCACCCGTGTATACGATAAATATTAATGATCGCGCAACGACAATTTTTTTTATGCACAATTTAAATCACAGACGTATTGACACGCGTGTAAAATGTCCGTTTATTTATGTAGATGATTAAGTATACTACTAGGAGTTCTTAAATGCTAACTACTGAATGCTAACGATTAATAACGCGTGGGTGATCATTTTTTTTTTTCCTATCGAAACAAGTTATACGCCTACAATCGCTACGATCTGCTTTAAATTCTATTTGGTATAGTGTGTGAAGTATTAAATATGAGTAAACTGCGCATACTTCTGACTAGACTGCGGAAAATCACACACGTGCTCGCGGCTCATTACGATAGGTATTGTTCACAGTAAAATTCGGAGTAAATAGAGCGATCTACAGTTTCGTCCCGCTTCTCGATCACCGATTAGCGCGTTCGTCCATTCAGAATGTCGCGTACACCGTCTCGAACATCGATCCGAGTGTCTCAATCATCGATCACAGGATCAAAATCACCGTTATCAGTCATTTCTCTGGGAACGCCGCGAAACACTGTTTCAGCGCGCGCAAATCGTCACTGGTCATCGAACATGTGCTCCGAGGACGTGCTTCGATCGAGAGCCTCTTCCGAGTTTTCGCCGGAGCAGTCTTTCCCGTCGCAGGTCCACTCACGTTTTACAGCCGTCTGCTCCCCCCTTTGTTTCGAAAATGTCTCTCTCGAAGAGTTGCGTCGCGGATCGACGAGCACCGACGAAATGTCATTCGCGCCACCGAGGACGAGTGCACGAGTCCGCGAGAACGACACACGTTCGCAGTGAACGGCGTTCGAGCCGCGACTGTGCACGTCGAGGCGTCGCGGCGCTCAATATACTATCCCTACGACGCCCTACCCGCGACCACCGGTATCAACCCCACCACCACGCCGTATCGCTGCCGCTGCCGCCGCCGCCGCCGCCACCACCACCATCACCATCGCCGCCGCCGCCGCCGCCGCCGCCGCTGCCGTCACCCACCGCGACACCGTCGTCGCGTCTACCGACATCCGCGGCGAGTGCCTCCTCCGGTTCTCGCTCTCAGGCCGGTTCACCCTCTCGCCGGCTCCTTCGGATCCACCTTCGTTGTCCGCCGCTTCCCGCGCCCTCTTATCCACCCCCTGGTTCCGTTCCGAAGCTTCCCCGCTCCGGATAAGGCGTCGTCCCTCTCGCCGCTTTTTCTCCTCGTTCGTCTCTCTTCGTCGCGTTCAGTTTTATTCCGCATTCCTTTCCGATGTTTTTCTCACCTGCCTTTGCGCCTTTCGGTATCGTCGCTCGTGTTTATCTTACTTTATGACGCATTGTTTCTTGCCGAAATCTATAAGTGATTATAGATTTCTCGGGGAACATAAAATTGTTTTATTATTTAAAATTTTCCTTTGTGTTTGTAATTTTTACATTTATGAGTCACTTTTGCGTCTTGTATATTTTTTTTTTTATAATAATGTTACTTCTTACTTTTTATCTCTCTCTTTTAAAAATTGTTTCGATATGTTTGCAGTTTCCACTTTTTCACATTTTTTGAGATTCGCAATATATCCTTGCTTTCTTTTACTCTTTCTCACTGTTTCGTTTCTTCTTCATATCCACACTTCTTTCACACGCCATGGAAGATCGGCTCTCTCATTCTGCGCCACCTATCTTCTCCTCCCGTTTTTTTTCTTTCGGATTCTTCTTCCACCGTCGAACTCGACTCCTACCTTCCCCACTCCTGCCTGTACTTCGGCAACCCCACCACAAAGCTGTTCCGGGGGTGTGTCTAGAGATAAGATGCACGTACACCGCTGCACCTGTCCATCTGCAACACGCTCGCTGCGAGAGATTCGCGACTGCCGATGACCGAGCTTAGATGCAGAAGGAGCAGCAAGAGATATCCGTGCCATCGCATCGATTTTTTGCGGTCTCGATTGCGAAGTGTCTTCACGCGTTCATGGAAGAATTCTTTGCAGATGTGTCTATAGGAATTTATAGCAAATGCGCTTTCGAACGAGTTTTACGTAAAAGCTTCTTGTTACAGAAGACTCACCTTAATCGACTGCATCAAATGAGGAAGTGCAATATTATGTTAATCCTCGAATACCAATCTATATTTAGTACCGTGTGTATTAATTATTTCCAAGGATTCTTTTGGAATAAAGTTTTAATAAATTGCATCGGTATTAGAATTCTCTTAAAAATTTCTCTAAAAATATTTAATAAAATATTAAATAAAATTATGTAATATGACGCAATAATGCACAAATAATTGGATACACAATAATAATAAATAAATAATTATTAAGTAATCCGTGCATTTAATTTTATGCGTTTAATTTTACGCGATAAGAAGCGACAGATGCATGTTCGGATTAGAAATTGATTCGATAGAGTCATACTTTGACCTTCATTATAAATCGCAATCCAGATCTGACATTGAGATCTCACTTATAGATAAGCAAACAGATTAACGGTTAATATAAAAGAACTCTTATATTTGCTGGGTCGAAAACATAATTTTTAATTGAAATACTTATAAATTTATAATTAAGAAGCGTAAAATAAAAAAATATGTGTGTAAATTGAAAATAAAATTTATACAAACGTAAAGAAAGACACACATATTTAAATATACGCATACATAAATATTCACAAATACATATAAGCTTTTAAATTTCACGTTTTTCTGTCAATTAATTCTTTTCAGCTTTACTTTATTAATCTACAAAAGTAATCCTCTCTGATTAAGCCAACAGTAATTAATATAAAAGCAACTTTCTTTGATATGTCAACTGCGGATCCTTTTGCGTTATTAAAATGGATCGTTCAAATCGGAGAACTTCAAAGAGAACGTACGCATATATGCGCTACGTATTCGCAGATTCCTGTAAATGTCGTCGTCGGATTAAATGATTTCTGGGAATTAATTTCCGTAGATGATGAATAAGTAGTATCGCTAGCGATATTCTCGCAGTATCCACGAATTTCCGGTGCTTCACGAGCGACATCCTTACCGATTACATCCTTTCGCGTTTGTGTGCGTCACATACGCGTTCACAGTGTACGTGTACGGCTTCGCCGCGTTAGAGATGCGATACGAAACAGCGATGTCGACGTGCTCGAAGCTACAAGCGCATTATTGTCGTCTAATAATCCGCAGGAATTAGGTGAACTTGCGTTTCGGCCGAATCGAACGTGTGGCCGTTTTATCGGTGGATTAAGTATTTGTGGCGTAACCGCGGGATATCTATCGAGAATCGGCAGATAATACGACGATTACGTAGCCGGTGGCAAAATTTATTTGATAATTTCTTATCGACGGCGTTGCCTAATCTGTTGTCTCGCTGGGCAAAAATCTGCCCGATTCGACGCTCGACGCTTTTGCCTTTTCTCTCTCGCCCATTTATAAACTGCATAGATAAGAGAACAATTTACCGCAAACGAGATGATTACGATATTATGAAATATATCGCTTCCGGTTTCCTGCGGATGATACGTCCTAATGATTATGACGCGACATTTCAGTAGCACAATTTTTTCTAAAGCGAAACAAAACTTCTTGATTCCACTTGTTACAAATATTTTTGAAAGATAATTTCAGTTATCGAAAATTAATATGGCCGAATTAAATCTCTAACTGTCTTTGATTTAGTGAAATAAAAAATATCGATTGTTGCAATATAGATATACGGCTTAATAGCGGCCAGGCTGGCAGACTGGATAATCCTGGGATTAAACCGAGCGTAGATAATACTTTATTCACTTGGCACGTGTGAGTTGATATTGTTTTTACGTAACAGAGCTGTTGTGCTAACGTTTTATCTGAGAAATCATTTTATTATGATCAAAATTGAACGGACAGAATTTCAAGCAATTTCAAATAGACGATTTGGATTAGGATTCTCAAATCTTTCAATTTAATCGATCATATTTCGCATTTAAATGCTTTTTTTCTATAAAATAATAACGCAAAGCTCCACGGCAACATAATTAGAATTGTTCTTAGTTGAGTAGTCAGATACTTGCTGTAACATGTGCCTGTTATACGTGCTTCCATGCGCATCTTCAGAAGCCGCGCGTGTAAATCTGCAGACAAATTTGCCTCGACAGACTAAGAATCTACTAGCGAAATTTCGTTCGCCGATACAGCATTCTACACTCGCCAAATCCGATCGCATTATTTCGCGGGGAGAGACGGTAACCAGACGCGCCATAAACGCATCTGTATTTTATCCCATCTGCGTTTTAATCCACGCCAATCAAAATTTATCTAAGCTGCTGTAAACATCATTAAAAGTTCATTTGACTCATTACTCCTGCACGCAACTATTAAATGTAAAATAAATTCGGAGTAATGCTAATTCGTCGCTTATCAACTTTTGTTCTGCGGAGCTTTCGTTTTTCGGATTAAATGGATACTTCGAACGTACATTACCATTGCTTTGTATCTGCGTATATTAAGCGCCTTGTGAATTACTCATTCCCGTTAAATGATACTCGCGAATGTCTAAACCCCCGACTCCTGATTACGACGCCGAAGCCAATAAAGCATCGTAGTCGAGAGCTGCGACTCAAACTTCCCCGTCGCCGTCCGGCGATGCACTCTTCATCCCGTCAACCGGTTTCCGGTGTCAGCTATACGCCCGCACACACGCGTACGCACGCGCGCGCGCGCGCGCTCCCGAGGGAGAAGGACGCGGGGGTGGAAACACGACAGTGGGGTAACGATTGCATCCGCGGATGCCTCTGATGCAATCTGTGTGCAAAGCGGTATGAAGTTGCAACTCCTACGACGGAGGGCT